TATACTTTAAAACTATGGGAGCGAGTTATGGAGTGTAGGTTGCGGCGTGATACTAATGTTTCTCAAAATCAATTTGGATTCATGCCGGGTAGGTCTACTATGGAAGCCATACATTTATTGAGAGGTTTGATGGAGAAATATAGAGAGAATAAGGAGGATCTACATATAATATTTAGTGCTTTAGAGAAAGTATATGATAAAGTTCAAAGAGAAGTGCTATGGCAAGTTCTTGAAAAGAAATGAGTCAATAATGCTTATATTCAAATCATTAAAGATATGTATGCAGGAGCTATTACTTGTGTTCAAACACAAGGTAGATTGACCAAGTATTTCCCTATTTCGGTTGGGTTACATCAAGGATCAGCCTTAAGCCCATATCTTTTTGCTTTAGTCATGGATGTTCTCATTAGACATTTGCAAGAGGATGTACCTTGGTGTATGCTTTTTGCTGATGATATTCTTCTTGTTGATAAGACTAGAGAGGGAGTTGAAGGTAAACTTGAATTATGGAGGTCAACCTTAGAGTCTAAAGGTTTTCGCTTGAGTAGATATAAAACGGAATATATAGAGTGTAATTTTAGTAATAATAGAACCAGGTGAGGGGATTGTGACTTTAGGTGAATCAAGTCATTAATAAGAGTTACACATTTTAGATATATTGGATCTATTATTCAGAGTGATGGTGAATTGATGGGGATATTATAAGCAGAATTCAAGTTGGATGTTGAAGTGGAGGAATGCATCGGGCTTATTTGTGCCATAGAAAAGTCCCCCTAAAACTTAAGGGAAAATTCTATAAGATGGTGGTGAGACCTGCAATGCTTATGTGCGAATGGTTGCCATTAAAAGAGAAGCATAATACTAAGCTAAGTGTTGCAGAGACGAGGATGCTTAGGTGGACGAGTTACTTGATCCTTAGAGTTAGGATACGAAATGAGCATATACGTGAAAATGGTTGTAGTAGCTCCTATGGGAAGATAAGATTAGAGAGAGTCGCCATTAATGGTTTGGTCACATTAAACGGAGCCTTCCGATGACCTAGTTAGGAAAGTTGAGGTATTAGATTTGACTTATGTTAAGAAAAGGTAGTGTAGACCTAAAAAGACTTGGTTAGAAATATTAGAAATGATCTTTCTTTATTAGATGTAAATGAGAATTTTACTTTTAACCGGACACAATGGCGAACAGGATTCATGTAGGGTTGCAAACTAACGCGAGTCGAGTCGAGTAATGCGAGTGTTCATGTTTGAGTTCGTTTATCATTAGCTTGTTCAAGTTTAGTTCATGTTAATTCGAGCTTTATTGTTTTGTGTTCATGTTTGGTTCATTTAATTTAAGTGTGTTCCATGTTTGGTTCAATGTTCGGTTCTGTTTGTTCGTTTAATTGCTTATCGAGCTTTAAACCAAACAAGCCTTAAGAGCTATGTTCATGAACAATATTAACAAACAATCTATTGAACAAACAAACATTAAATTTGTCATAACATCTTAAACTAACAATCTAACAAACATAGACAAATTTGGGAAATGTTTTTGACAGAAAATAATAAATTAATAATAAAACGCAAGTTATCTATTTTAAATGAAATATATTAATCTATATGAATATATTCTTAAATGAAACTTACCTATTGCATTTCTCTCAATTCGAGATTTTATCGAGCTTAATGTCGAGCTTGTTCACGAACTTCAAATGATGTTGTTCGTAAACATAAATGAACCGAACACATTAGTGTTCAAGCTTGTTTATTTAAGGATCGAGTATTTAAAATGTTGTTCAAGTTTGTTTGTTTAATTAGTTAAACGATCACAAACGAGCTTTAATCAAACCGAGCATCGAGTAGCTCGTCGAACGCTTGGTTCGCTTGTAGCCCTCGATTCATGTAGCCGACCCCACGTAGTGGGACAAAGGCTTGATGTTGTTGTTGTTGTATTAGCCTATCTCTTCATCAATATGGTTAAGATTTATCTAGATAATCTGCCAACTTTAAAGCTTCTTTGGATGATAAGAGAGTGCAAAAAATTTGAAACTGATATATTTAAAGTCAAATGAGCCAGAGATGGTGGTTCATGTGATTTTTGGTTGATCAAAAACTTGAATTGCTTCCCAGTTCTTCCTGTATGTTTCCTTTGTATTGGCGACACCTTTCTGTCATGCTTTGCTGTTCACATCCTCAAGGAGAGGGATCTTAGGTGCTAGGACTGGTAAGAGAGAAATATTGCGTCAATGTTGTTAAACGCAAGCTGGATAGTTGCCCATGTGGTTTTGCAACCTGAGGCGAGATTGGAACTCCGTGTATATAGAACTATTATGTAGGTGTCATTACTAGGGTCATAGGGTGTGCCTAGGTAACATCTTGCCTTAAGCCACTAAGAAGCGATGTGAGCTCCTTGCCTTGATTCGAGAGATAGGTGCTATCTTCTTATGTTGAACATGAATTAGTTTTTCATGATGAAAACTTAATATGGGATGATGTGGAAAGAGCATCAAGAATCAGAGAATTAAAGATGTTCTCCTTGAAACAAGGTAAAAGAAACATTTGTGGAAGAGCTTCAAGTCCTAGATTAGCATGATTCTCATGGAAGGAACCAGTAAAGACTACATTTAATGATGGAAAGAGAGCATGGATGAAGAAGAATATAGAATAGATAATAGAGAAGATTAGATTATCCTAGGCTATACATGCTATAATAGTATATACATTAGCTAAAGTGTTTCTAATACAAACTATTTAATAAGATTTTCAAACCCTGAATGCAATGAAAGTTGGAGATTCATTATTTTTTTCCAACATGCTTTCAAGTGATTATTATTTGATAAATTTCAAAGTATTCTTTATAATTAAAAGAAATTTATAAGAATTTACTTATTTGCTTTTATCATTTGATTTCACTCAAGCAAACGCCTGGTGCATCACACTGCCTTGAGGCAGTTTGGCACTTTGATGTACACTGAATTGTTCCTTTTTTGGCAAAGTTGTTTAAGAATGTGGAGGATGTCAATATTATATAGAATATAGTGCGTGGAGAGGAATGGGGCATGGTAGTTGAGACAGTTGAAAGAGAGGGAAATAGAATTAAACTTGATAGGCTTGCATGTAATCTACATTGGTAGGCACGTAAATATTCTGATTCATACAATTACAAATGATATATTTCACGATATGCTCTGAATTCATTCTAGAAGCTCAAAATCACCTTCAAATTTATTTTTAGACTTACAAATCTGTATTTGTAGCTTGTAAAACTCTTCACAACAATCCGGATGCATGGATAGAAGTTTATTTTTAATGTGTATGTTATACATATCATAATTTGAAAATTTGAATTTAGGCATTTTTGTGGAATATGAAAATGCAAGATGAAAAACTATGTTGCATTAGGGAATAACTTCAACTTAGCAGTTGGCTGTAATATGATCTAAATAGTGCTATCATCAGTGTCAGGCACCCTCTAGGAGATATAACTTCCCTATGCCTATGATAGATACAATCCTATTTGCTCCCCCGATTGAAATGAGGCGTCAAAGTAGTTATTTTACTTATGGACTAATTTCAATCACGAGGAATGATTAGGAAATCATACATTGTTATTAAAGGTGATAATTTTTTTATTTTGTCTGAATTTCTAAAATTCAAATAGATTATTTAAAAAAAAAGTATCGAAAATACATGTCTAAATAACAGTTTTACTTTAATTTTGAAGAATGAATAGCTTGAGGATCCCATTCTTAAATACCGTGATGCTAACTATCACTTCATCATCAATATTCTTTTCTTTTTCATTCTTAGTCAATCTTCCATCTCTTTTTTTGTCTTCTCAAACTTATCTTCTTTCTCAATGTTTTCTTCTCTAGCATTTTAAGTTATTACACCAACATTTGATTTGACTAATTTTCTAGCATACCCATTATTTCTCCATCAGCTAGTGCTCTTTCTGCATCACCTGATGACATATTATCATTGGTTTAAAATTGCGCAATATGAGGCTTGCCTTTGCGCAATTCTAGTAAAAAGCACCTCGATGCTTACGCCTTGATTTTTTTTTTATGAGGCTTGCACCTCAACTTGGTTGAGGCCCGCCTCGCCTCACTGGCATGAGGCTTACGCCTCATGCTATATATTAAAACTTACATAAATCTTGAAGTAAATGCCCGACATTGGACTCTATAGGAGAGGAGGAAGGGGAGAGAGCAGTTCACCATAATGATGATTCAAATGAAGAACCCCTTAGTGATGACAGTGCTGATGACTTATGAGTTCTTATGTGATATGTCATTGCTATTTATTTTTGGAAATTTGAATTATATGTTAATGAAAAGAATACTGGGATTTGGGAAAGATAGAATTTTGAGTTGAACTATATTTCATGTTGTCTTATTATTGAGATATTTTGATTTCACTTCATATCTTATATTTTTTTTTATGTTTTATATTATTCACTCATTAGTATATAAAAAATTTATCATTTTATGTTTACGCAATCTTTTGATTTTGAGGCTTATGCCTCAAAAAGTCTTAAGGCTTACGCCTCGCCTCACGAATGAAAAACGCCTCAATACCCGAATACGCAATTTTAAACATTATCAAAACTAACTTATATTCCACGTTTCAAATATTGTTGACCACCTTTTCTATAAAGGCAAGACGATGGTCTAGAAGTAAAGCACCTGCATAGGTAGAGCCTTAGTATTTGTGCTCGCTGAGGAGGTGTACGAGACATTTTGCCCTTGCCACGTTTCAGTCTACTACCTGGTCAACCTCCTGACTTTCATTTCAATAGCAATGGATTGAGTGTTGTTTAAAGTACTAATGTGCTTGGAATTAAAGGCAGATTGCTTCTTGAGAATCACTTGCATTTGAACAATTCCTTTCTACAAAGCTTATTCATTTTTGATAGTATGTATTTTTCAATCAGAGAATGCATGCATATTTAGCAGTTTTCTTGTAATCTACATGCTTCTATCCTTTTGGACCAACTGCCTGTTTTTGCTTTTGCAGTGTTGGTTGGACCCCTTCTTTTTTGCTGAAGCGATACATCTTAACAGGAATTCGTGATGGTCCACAAGAACCATTTATAGCAGATTCAGTGGATTTTGTTGTTGGGCAGGTATTGAAACTACTATTAGCTGAAATTGGTATGAAAGTGCAAATATTCAAGATAAACAATAATGTTTGGAATTTTAGGTAAATTTTAGAGGTAATATTCTTATTGAAGTGTTTCCTGTCAATTTGCTTTCTCTGTTTGAAATAAAATAATTTCTGATAGGTAAATTCACCGAGTGAGTTTCTTGGACATTTTGTATTGATTTCGTCAATAGTTCAGTGTTCAATTCCCTGAAGAGGCTTTTATCTGATTACTCTGTATTATTAACATTGTTTATTATTTCATGGCTAGTAAGAGTATATGATCTACAACTTTAATTTTCTGTCCATTCTTATTATTTACATACAACAGATTGATTATGATGACTTACATGTGCTGAATGATTTATTGATTTTATTTCATTAGTTCTAATACGAGAACTGATTGTACTGCAAAATCAGGTCCATAATGATGCCATCATTGTCAATACATGAGAAATATCATGCTGACATATGAAGCAATATTTTCAAAATATGTTTGCACTTGTTATGGATCTAGTAGAATGATGTGTAATGCCTTCATTTTTAGGCTTTTTAACAAATCTACTAATATCAAGATCAAATTAAACATCATTCATAATTCATTCTACATAACCTGCTGACATATTGCTTGATGGATTCTCTATCATTTTATGTAACCATTTACTTTATGAGGCTATTTGGTTGGAAGTAAAGAGGGTGTAAAGAATTCCTTTTGCAGGGTTTTAAAAATATTGATGTTTGGTTAGATGAAAAATGAATGCAATATATTTGAAATACTTTAGAGTAGTTTGGTTGAGTATCAAGAAAATGCAGGTTATTATTATTATTTTTATTTGACTTAAAGTAAAATGAATGCAGCGGGCAGGCGGAGGTTGCAGCTGGCGGTGGCAATGGCGATGAGTTTTCAGGGTATTTGAAAATCTCTCAAATATGAAAATTCCAAATACACTAGATTTCAACTAGAGAGTTGTAGGCTCCGAAAATTCGGCCCTGGCCTCCCTGCCGCATTTTTCTTTTTTATTCGGCAAGGGAGTTTTAACGGAATAAGTTCCGGGGTAAATTTTGGAAGGCATATGGGTTTGTAGATAAGACACTACCCAGAGATTTCGCCCTCATTTTGTGAGGACTTTATGATCTGAGTTCTAGTTTCCTATAGGCGCAAGCCCCTATAGTTAATTACCCCTCCCGATGACGAGAGAGAACTTTCGATTAAAGCTAGTCGTCAATCAGATACGTGCTATCTGGCATATAGTAGCAGCATGGGTTTGGGTCTGGAAATTGGGTTTGAATTTGGGCATTTGGAGAATTAGAAGTTTTGGAGATTTGATATTCAAAATAGAAATTGCACCATCTTGCAATTAAAGCGGATGGTGGGGGAATGGATGATGGGCCCGATCAAGATCCCATGGTTCCGTCGTCCCGGGCCATCGTGGTTCCTGGTCTACTTAGTCAGAGGAGGTAGTCGACCCAACCTGACAGAAGGATCCTTGTCAGCAGCCATGGGTTGCTTCGTCCAAGGAGACCTTGTAGACCTGGGGGGAATGTTTGTCTAAGGGGACAAATTTGAATCCACCTTAGCTGACAGAGGGCTTTGTGCCCTATCGATTCATATCTCAAGGATTTGCCGCCAAATGGCAAAACCACTTGGTTCAGAGGGCCCCGGGTCGTCATAACTGTTTATCCTGCGGTGCCATTTGGCGGCAAACCGCCAGTCAGAGGACACGTACCACGTCCTTACTGGCAGGAGACTGTTTTGAGAATGGATCCTAGTGATATTTCGACCAGGCATTTGGCTCTTTTGTGAGCTGAGTAAATATTGATTTATTCTGGATGGATTTTGTTTTGAGTGAATGATGAATTTATTTCAAATTTTAAATATCTGGACTTTGGGATGGAATTTGGAAATTTTGGATTTTCGGATGGACTTTTGGGAGGCATTTGGAAATGCCTAAAATTCACCCCTCCAGTTGAGATCTTCAATCAACGCGGCCATCATCGGGGTGTTTGGGGTCATTTATCTTTGTAGCTTGAGCCTTGTCATCTCAGTCAAGCTATATAAACTGAGGATCGGGTTTCGTAGGTTTCGTGCCTTTATTAGTGAATTCTCTTGATTATAAGCCTTGAAAGCCTAATATGGATGTATTAAAACAAATACACCGGTCGCCACAACCGTGTACTTGTTTGAAGGTTCGAATCCTGTTGACTTCTATCGGTCCATATAGAAGGATCGGGTTCGAACTTGAATTCACTTATTGACCCGCGCAACATCCCTAGACGTCACGTGTGTACCAATAACACACTCGCCGGGGCTCATGCGGGTTTGGGGGAATTTTATAATTAAACCATATCGACTCCTTTTTACCTGCTAAGGAGGACCGGGTTTAAAATTTGATAACCCGCGTAGCATCCCTAGACGTCACGTGTGTACCAATAACATGCTTGCCGGGGCCCATGCGGGTTTGGGGGCTTTTTATAATTAAACCCTCTCGACTCCTTTTTACCTTCTAAGGAGGATCGAGTTTAAAATTTGATAACCCGCGCAGCATCCCTAGACGTCACGTGTGTACCAATAACACGCTCGTCGGGGCCCATGCAGGTATTTGGTTGCTTTTACCCCTTTTAGTGTACCTATGTGTATACAAACTACGGTGCATGTGTGGAGGTACTTTGAAATATTTGTAGGCGCCTTCTGTCCGCTTGTGAATATTGTGGATCCGATGGCCTGACGTTGTAGTTTGTGGACGCCTTTTGTCTACTTGTACGAATGTTGCAGATCCGGTGGTGTTACGTTTTGATGTCGACTTCCCCTTTTTCATTCATCGGGGAGGGACTTCTTTGGACTTTAAAGTCCACTGCTTTGCAAAGAATTCATTTTGAGATCATCGGTGTATGAGACTTGTCATTTCTGGTGTTTGTAGGTACCAGAACTGTTTTCTTCTTAAGTATATAACTAAGAAGAGATATTGGAACACCAGGAAGTTTGGTTCTAATTTGTTCAAACTTCTTTTCTGATTCCGCCGGGGAGTGTACTTTTTTTACATCGAGTCGCCCTTGTACCCGAAATGCTTGAAGATCTTTATCACCAATGTCGTAGGTGATATCAATACTTGTGCCCACAGCGGTTCGTTGTACCTACGATATACCCACTGTTGTTATCCATAAGTATCCATTTGCGGGGGACCGTTGTATCTACTACGAGCTTCTAGGAATGTTCGTAGGAGAGTCATTTACATCAGTATCATATCCGCCTTTCACCAATCTCAGGTGGTTATTCTGATGAATTTATAGTTGCTTGCAGGGACAGGTCCTTCATCATTGGTCTCCCGTATTGCCATCTCAATCAACAGGCATTTGTTCGTAAGGAGATTTACACCTTATTGTGGTCATTTTACATTCGTAGACATTTGCACTTGGTCTGCTAATCAACCACCTTTCAGTTGCAAGGGATATATATATTTGACTTCGATCGGATGATTGTTGACACTAGCGGGCATTTACATTTGTCGTATGCTTCACTAAACACATCCGTAGAAGGTGTGATTTGATTGGTGTTGGATGTGAGAATGTTGCAATATCTTCCCCGACATTGAGTCTTTGGATTCCTCGTGCTTCTTTTGAGTTCAGAGTCCATTCAAGCTCAAGTCTTGGTTCAAGTCCCCTGCAGTTCTTTGAGTTCAATTTCATATTTGTTTATTGCAAGTTCACTTTGTTCATTTCAATTTCATTTGAATTTTAAGTTCATTTTGTTCAAGGCTAATTTCTTTGAGTCCAACTCATGTTCACAAGTCTAGCTTGAGTCCAAGTCCCCTGTGGTTCAAGTTCTCATGTTCTTGTCCACCTTGCAAGTTCAAGTCAAGCTCAAGTTCACTTGAGTTCAAGTTCATTGTTCTAATCATTTGATTTTTAAATGAAATGTAAGCTCCAAATCTTATATTTTCAAATTTATTTGAGTTTAAGTTCAATTAGGTCTATTTGAATCAAGTCCATTAGTCTCAAATTATTCCAAGTCTTTGCCTTATTTCAGAAAAAAATTCGGCAGCCTCCCGGCGTAGGTGTTGCACCGGGTTCCCTCCTACCACGCTCGACAAAGACGTGCATAGGTGGTCTACCGGCCCGACACGAACGTCGAGGAAGGAGCGAGAAGGGGATTTTCTCTACTTGATTAATTATAATTAAAATTATAATTACCCTCAATTAATTATAATTAATTATAAATAACCTTAATTAATTATAAATAATTAATATTAATTAATTTTAATTTATTATAATTAATTAGAATAATTATAACTAATATAATTAATACAAATTCTAATTAAAATTAATTAACATTAGTTTTAATTAAAATCCTTTTAATATCTCTACCCTCCTTCATGCTCTCGGGTTCGGCTTCTACAGGGATTTGGCCGAACGAGCGTGCATAAGGGAGAAAGTTACCTTCCCACCTAGCGAGCTCCCTAAAGTTGCTTCCGATTGGACAAGAAGGGAAAGTCAGAGGAGCGAAGTCGTTCGGCCACAAGGGGATCGGGATCTGGGGGTTCGGTCGTGAGATGGAGAGGCGTCGGCTATAGGTATGTGGATTAGTCTCTCTCTCTATCTCTCTGCCGACGGGAGGTCGGCACTCGACAGATGCAAAGGAGATCAAGGCTTCGGCAAGGAGCGGAAGGATGGATGGAGAGGCGTTGGAGGAGAATGTCGAACAGCACGAAGGAGTCGAAGCAGCGTCGAGAGAAGAGGAGCAGGAGCGTGAGCGAGAGTTCAGAAGAGGGAGAGCTCGGGACAAGAAAACGGGCCGAAGGCTTTCGTCGTCGTTTTATTGACTTGAATCGAGCAGCGCGGGATGGGATCGAGATGGATGCGATAGTTTTGCGCCGAACTACAGACTGGACGTTGTCGCGGGATTTCTGGTCGCTGTCGCGGGATTTCTGGCCGCTGGATACGGGATTTGAGCAGGATTCGGGTGAGATCTCAGCACAGGTAACGATTTCAAGTATATATTTATTATATTTTCTTTGTTCATTTCTGTTTGGCTGCATAGTATAGGTCAACAAGAGTGAATTCTTTTTACTTCAAACCAAATAATATTTTCAAAACCCCTGCATTTGGAATACATTACACTCCTAATGCAGCAAACCAAACTACATCTATGTAGTGCAAAGTATTCTAGTTCATTTTTGAGGTAATGTAAATACGTCCAATTTTGAGTGAAAATCCTTTTCACTGCTAGTAAAGTACTTTGTTAGCACCGCCAGCCATCTCCGTTGTCGGCCACCATCGCCACCCCATCGCCCACCACCGCTGCTGTCATCCTCACGCAATTGGCTAGCACTGCCACCATCGGCCATAGCCTGTTGTTGGCCACCAGTGCTGCTCGTATTGGCCACAACTGCAGTCGCCACCGGCCAATCCACCACCATTTTGGACTTTACCCTGCATTCATTTCATTTTAAACCAAACAAAAAAGTAATCTCATGCATTCCTTTTACTTTCATCCAAAACTTCAAATATTTTAAATGCATTAAATTCATTTTACACTATTTATGCATTCCTTTTTCAACAAATCAAACATCCCCTATTATTGATCAATAAAAAAAAAGGGAAAGAAAGAGGCGGCATAACAGAAAAATAAATAATTAAATAAATAAAGAAACAAAATGTAAGAAAATTGATGAGATGCATCTATTCAGGAAACCTCTTCCAATGCCTCCTCCGATCCGACCCCTATTCAAGAGATTCGTGCCAAATGAAGCAAGGCTTCGCTTCAATAACTGACATTCAACGGCTTAATCAATAAAACGAGGACATAAATTGAAGAGAGGATCTTAGATTCACTTTTGCTTCCTCACATTCCTATTATGTATGATCAATATCTTGCAAGTTGACCCGTCCAATCCCTCCACTCGTCGACTATAGCCCAGACCATAGGCCTGCCTCCTGTTCACGAGCCTGCCTTATGCTTCTACTCCGGCTACAATACTGAACGTCACCCAACTCCTTTAACCGGACTCGCTCTGTCTTTGCCGACCGAACGCCCGCAACTCCTGTGCAAGAAATTCCATCACTTGTAGTCCGCCTCCTACCTATTCCACATGCGATTCCGCTGCACTAAAGCCACCGCTTGCGCTTGCCTCTCCCGTCCGTTGGCAAATCCCCTTTCCGAACTTGACCCGTCGCTTGCTCTGTCTGCACGCAAGCTTCACGAACAAAGACTCCTGTTGCCTACTTGATCAGACTCCCACACCTAAGCCTTACGCACGAACCGTTCACTTTGTGTACTTGCTCCGGTGCCAACTCTTGTACATATCAATACCTTTTGTCTCCACTTCATAAGTAACTCCACATTATGTTCCAACCAACATCTCATCCGGCTTACACTACCGATGCACTTCAATACTTGATACAAGGCATATACTAATCGACAGTCTAAGTAATTAAAATAAAAATATGCATAATTATATAAATGTTATAGCAAACAATCATATTTAATTGCAAAAACCTTGCACCTTCAATCTTAAATTCGGCTGGGATTATTACAAATTGAAGATCTCGCGCCATTGATCTTAGATCTGGCCGGGATGATTATAAATTGAAGAACTCGTATCTTCGATCTTAGATCCAATCGGGATGAAGTCGTATCGATGCCCTCGTGTCATCGATCGTAGATCCGACTGGGAAGAAATCAACTGTAAGTGCTGCCCCGACCTCCCCTTTTAGGGAGGGAACGTAAAGAGGTTGCCGAAATTGCCTTGGAAAATCATAAAAAATGAAGAACAATTCAATTTTAATGTTAATTAATCAATTGATTAATTTTAGTTAAAACTAATTAATGAAAATTAATTAATTGATTAAAGGTAATTAATCAAAATTAATTGAAATTAGTTAACTAAAATTAATGGAAATTAATTAATTAAAATTTATTAATCAAAATTAATTAGTTAATTTAAATGAATTAATTGTTTAAAATTAGTTAATTAATTTTGATTGATTAATTATAATTAATTAATTAAAATTAGTTGGTTAACTAAGGTCAATGTATCAAAATTAAATAATTGGTTAATTAATTATCCAAAAGCAATTTAAAATTTGAGAGCAAAATTAATTAATTGGTTATTTAATTATCCGAGAGTAAATTTAAAATACGAGAGTTAATATCTGAGAGCATTGAAAATTCGAGTGCAATAAAATTGAAATTGATTAATTGGTTTATTAAAATTAAAATTTTAATTAGTTAATCTATTAATATAGAGATAGCCACTATGCTGAGTTTTCTTTTGAATATAGCAAAAAAAAATTTCCCACTAGTCAGCCATAAAGTATAAGCTACACTAAAACTACACTCCTAAATCTATAACTCAAACAAAAGAAAAGCATCTCCAATGCTCATCTACAGGCTCTCCAATGCTCCTCCAAACTCTCCAAAGTCTCTCTTGTGCGAGCTCCAAAACAAAACAAGCTCCTATAAACAAGCAAATAAAACTCATTAGCATTGAAATTAAATTGCTAAGACAAGAAAAGAGCAAGTGCTAAATTAAGCTATAGTACTAAAAGAAAAAAAAGGTAACTACTAGTATAGTAAAGTAATTACTTGTATAGTAAAGTAACTACTGGTTTAGTTAAGAACTACTGATATAGTAAAGTAATTATTGGTATAATCTATAGTATTGAAAGAAAAAGAGCAAGGTAATAGAAACACTAGTGTCAAACAACAGTATTGTAGTGGAAGCACTAGTGTTAAACAGCAATTGATGGCCAGTAAGTGTCAAACTAGTAAACAAACTGCTGGTAAATGACTGAAAACTAAAGTCTAGTGTCAAGCTAGCAAACAATTACAAACAAAATAACTTACAGGTAAAATCTGATCTACCGTAAACATGAACTTTCAGGCTACTTCCAAAGAGAAGTAGTAAGTCCTACAAATCTACATGCTACTTACTAAGGAAGTCATAAAATCCAAACAAACAAAACTCATGGGAAGCTTAGTCTAAAGGGCTAGATTGTAAGACTCATCTTCAGGTATCTTTCAAAAGAAGTTGCAGGAGTTGTTATTTGAGAGAAACTCCTAGGAGAAATATTAAACTCTCAAATTAAATCTAAATAAAATGGCCAGCCTTGCTTATAGAGCTTTGTTGTAAGACCCACCATTGGATTACTTCCCAAGAAAATCAATAAGACCCATCCTATTCAAATAACTAGACAACTTCTAATGAGAGTCATGAGACATATTATTTGAAAAAATTTTAAATGAAATATCAAACCCTCAACCAAAATAATTGGATAGCTTAGTCTATAGGGCTAGGTTGTAAGATCCATCAACGGACAATTTCTAAGTGAAGTTGTGAGACCCACACATGAGAAAATTGCGAAATAAATTGTAAGATCTTAAAACCTAAATAAACAAAATTAATGGGCAGCTTAGCCTATAGGGCTAGGTTGTAAGACCCACCAGTGCGCTTCTTCAGAAGCCATAAGACCCGCTTTACGGGCTACTTTCAATAAAAGCAGTAAGTCCCAACCCAAATTTAAGCATCCGGACTACTTCAAGGAGAAGCCATAAGACCCACTTCAATTTAAACATCTAGGTAATTTCTAAACGAAGTTATAAATCCAAACCAAATTAAATTCTGGATATTCTAATAGATATAAACCTCAAACCACATTTTTCGAACTTAAACCAAATCAACATACACCTAACAACTTCAGTTTACTTTGGATCCCTGAGAGAAGGTAACCTATGGCTGCTAATCATATTTCATGGACACTACGTTCATTGATTGCTAGTGTTGATAAACTGAAACCTACGGTATACCCGGGACGACGGAACCATGGGATTTTAATCGGGTTTACCTTCATTTTCTCCCACAACTGTGACTAAAATATTTAAAATTATTCATTCTTAATTGAGAGTTCTTTTTTATGTGTTAAGAGAGGTAATTAACTATGAGTGCTTGTATTTATGGGAAGCAAGGACCCAAATATAGTTAAACTTTGACACCATATTCGGTGGAAATCTAGTTAACTGCAATCTGACTTAAGGAAAATGGAATCCTATGTCTTTAACACGGGATTCGTGCCAACGCGCCGTTCTTCTTGAGCCAACACCTATGTAGCATCCTTCTTATCAGGACACCTTGAAAAATTGATAAGGAATAGTCCTTAAACGTTGATATTATCCAATGTTTAAAATTGCGTATTCGAGTATTGAGGTATTTTTCATTTGTGAGGCGAGGCGTAAGCCTCAAGGCATTTTGAGGCGTAAGCCTCAAAATCAAAAGATTGTGTAAATATAAAATGATAAAATTTTTATATACTAATGAGTGAATAATATAAAACATAAAAAAGCATAAGATATGAAGTGAAATCAAAATATCCCAATAATAAGACAACATGAAATATAGTTCAACTCAAAATTCTATCTTTCCCAAATCCCAATATTCTTTTCATTAACATATAATTCAAATTTCCAAAAATAAATAGCAATGACACATCACATAAGAACTCATAAGTCATCAGCACTGTCATCTCTAAGGGGTTCTTCATTTGAATCATCATTATGATGAACTGCTCTCTCCCCTTCCTCCTCTCCTATAGAGTCCAATGTCGGACATTTACTTCAAGATTTATGTAAGTTTTAATATATATAGCGTGAGGCGTAAGCCTCATGCCAGTGAGGCGAGGCGGGCCTCAACCAAGTTGAGGTGCAAGCCTCATAAAAAAAACTCGAGGCATAAGCATCGAGGCGTTTTTTACTAGAATTGCGCAAAGGCGGGCCTCAAGGCGAGCCTCATATTGCGCCATTTTAAACTATGATATTATCAGTTGATTACCATAGCTACATGCAAATTTCTTTTGATATATTTATGTATTGTATCTCAACAACTCAAGTGTTAGAAAATAACTTCATGCTTTGTCGGCATGCTTTTGGATATTATTTTTGTTTACAAAGGCTTGCTTCTTTTCCACTCTCAGGTCGAAACATTGTCCAGAGATGACCTGTCCTCACGGTTAACATTGAATGCAGCTGCTGCATCTGTTGGTCCTCTATTGCTGTCAGATTCTCTTGTGACCATTATGGATGTAAGTCATATTCAAAGCTGTAGAACAGTTATTATTCAAAATTTATAATTATTTGGATTTGTTCTCTTATTTAATTTGTGTTTCTTGGTCTGTTATAAGTTGACATTTTCTACCTTTTTTTCACTTGACGCGCCCAAAAACCTTCCTTGTGCAATAAATGCATGATAATTCTGAAGAAAACTACCTAGTGAAATTCCAAAATCTTACTGATCAGCGGGATATCAAGATTGTTACCAAGTTTATGGAAAAAAAAAGAACCATTCTTTTTATCTATTTGCTATTATATTCATTCATCTGTTAGTGGGTAAATTATAATGAGATCCCTCGGCATAGATCTAACTCTGACATTAATGATGTTCTTCAAAGTCTTCATGTAGGTCCTGTTAACATCAAAAAAGGTTAGGGAACTTAGATTTAAGGCTGGCTTTGTTTCCTTAGATTTACTTAGTGTAGCCTTGACTGACCTGTCATAACCTCAGAATACACCTTTTTGTTGCCACTCTATCCTAGTTGACTCAGTCGGGCTTTACGCTAGTGTAGAAGCCCCTCGAGCACCCTTTTTCCTTGGATGACCTCATATTGTCCCCAGGCAGTCAAGGTGAAAGCTTGGAGAGCTCTCTGTTGCTCACATCCAATGTAAATCGATCACTTATTATAGGCCTATGCTAGGGATCATTGCCTGTACCATGTATCTGACATCTGTGACTTGCCCACTTTTGGGTTGATTCTGATGGACCGGACCAGCCGGTCCATCCACCTTCAACACCGGCCCAAAAAGGGCCGGTTCTTGTTTACTGCAGGCGGAGAACCCGCCTGCCTGGGCGGTCGGCCGAAGGGAAAGAAGGGGGGCGGGTGGGCCCAAGGGGCCCACCAAATGAATAAGGGAGGGAATTTTGTTTGCCCTAGGGGTGTTTAGGGTATTTGGGGGGGGGGATCATGTGAGGGTTTAAGGGGAGTTAGGGTTTATTTTGGAGGTATCTTGTTTTGTGGCTGTTTTAGGTTTCTTCTTCTCTAGGGCTTGGGAGAAAGCTTCCCTTCTCGAATTGGGAGCATTGTATCCGTGGAAACTTGTAAGTCTTTTGATATTTGACTAAAGGAAGTGTTTGTGAGTGTTTTCATCCAAGCAATCTTCTTTTCTTCCACTATTTTTGGGCTATTTTCTTGGATTCCGAATTTTGCAACTCAAGTTCCATCAGATTCATACTTCCTTTTAGTGAGCCAATCTTGCACTAGTAGTTTTTTTTAATGGTTAAACGGAGATGGTCTTGTAATAACCCATATATGACCCAAAGCCCTAGGTATTTGGTCTTCAAGCTCCATAAAGCGCTTGGATTAGCATTGAAATTGTGATATACTTTAATGACCCCATCCATTTTTGACTTACATATAACTGATCTAGATGGGATAGTCTAAGCTTAAAGACCTTGCTAATAGATAACCAGGCCTATAAGGCGGAGCTGATGCTCATTAATCTTAGATCAAGCTCCAATAGTTACAATCAAACCAATTGAATGTTCAGGTGACTTGGAATGTTATGTTGATTTAGTAGACAGCTCACATACCAAATGCTAGGCCAAATTTGCAAACCTTTAGAGTCAACTTGGCACAAGAGTAATTGGGAGGCTTTCAATTATGCAGTAAAGAGCTCGGGCTATCAAAGATTGAACCTAAATGGTCTAGACTTAAAATTTCCTTCAAATGGAGCCCACCCAAATCTAACTGAATTGGCCATGGAGCAAAGTGTTGCTCTAAGTATAGAACCTAGAATCTACTTGATCATTAATATAATGAGATTACCTAATGTCGCTAGACCCAGTTAAATTGAAACTGAACCTAGCGCTGATGTCTATTGCTTCAATAAGGGTGTCTCTCTAAAGTAACCTTAATAAGTTTGCTTTGGTTAAATCAAGCAGATCCATGCTTAATTGGCTTATTAGCCCAATGCCCTGAGTTTAAATTGAGCATAGTCCACTTTCAGCCAGTTCCTGGCTAGTCCTATTCAAAGTTAGCCTAGATTCGATTAAAAACTTTTCCAATCAACAATTGGTTTGATTAGACTTCGGTTTTGGTATGAAAAATGACTGAAGTAATGCTAATTCATATACTTGGGACTAACCCACTAGCAAACACGTTTGAAACAACTCTTATAGCCTCCCTTACTCAATTTTAGTGTAAGCCTTGTTGATTTCATTTCTGAATGAGATTAACAAAACCTTCAAATGTTTAGCTAATAGGATCTTTTTCCTTAGTATAGGTCCTTGCTTATAGAACCGTGTTTGATGGATTCTAAATAACTTTGCATTTGCTAGTCATAAAAAGCTCAAGTCCTAAGGTACTATGTTGAACCCTTGAGACCCATTAACTCATTAACCCTAGTGTGTTTAGGTGGTGCCCGGGACCCTTCGGAGTTTACTCTAGATCTTCCTAAGCCCATTAGGAACCTTTTCAACCTTTTTCAATCCCATTTTTAGTAAGTTGAAGCCAAATCCAAAACTCAAAATTCAAAGCTAGGGAGGCCCTTGGGTTTAACTGGGCCATTCATGGTCCAGTTAACCATGGACTTATCTAGAAGCCACCTAAGAATCATTGGATACTCCCTAAATACCCTAGATAGATAAGGGACTCTGCTTAGTCAATGTTAGATCAACCTTAGGTCAAGCTAAAATGACCTATCTATCCTAAGCCCTATGACACCCATCCTAGGGCCTACCTTAGGTGGCCCATGACACTAGGATCTATCTTAGGACACCTTGGCATGCTTTTGGACTCGCCCATGGGTCAAAGAGTCCTAGTCAACCCATTTGACCCATGGTTAAACGTAGGGTTAACTTAATCAACCCTGTACCTTAAAACTCTAAATCTAATCCAACCAATCATTTCAAACCCAATGGCCTTGTTATTGAGTTTAAATGCTCTTACTCATCCCAAGAACACTTAGACTCATGCTTGACACATGGTCAAGCCTCCTTGACCATGACTATAATCAACCCAAATTTGACTAAAAGGCCCAAGTGACCCACTTTAGGTTCACTTGAACCAAACCTAAGTAGACCTACTCCAAACCTTTTCAAACTTTACCTAACCCTTCCCAACACCCTATGATACCCCTCCTAGGTGTCCTAACTTAGGTTAGCCCAACTTGGTCAAACCTATTGACTGTACCTTATTCATTTAAACCTAAGCTTTCAAACCAAACCCAAGCTGACCCATGACCTTCCTTGGGCTTGTCATTTCTCCTTGAGGGTTGCCTAGTTAGTAGGCCAATTGGCACCACCTCAGATGGCTGGTATATTGGTAGACAACAACATCATGTGACCTTACTCCCTCTAAACGTTTAGCTAAGACAATTATCCCACTCCTAATTGACGACCCCTAATGACCTCGCTGGCTAGCATCGGCGACGATGGCTGAAATTATGTCCAAATACATATCACTTTTTATTTATAAATTGACCTTACATGGTCTGATTTAGTGTGCGATAAGAGTTCATTTGGCTTTCCTAGTGAGTTACTGAGTGTTCCCAACCATCCCCCTCCCTTAGCTTCTCTATGAGTAAAACATCCAAGCTCTAACAACTCTTGTTCGACAAAATTGCTTGAGGTGATCTAACCATTCTTTGGTGAGGCAACCTTCATTAAACTATTTGGTCTTGGTCAAGCGAAGCTCTTGCAGCCAGCTGTTCTGGATCAATGTATGCCTAAATCCCTATAATCTAGATTTTTAGTTTCACACATTGTGAATCGGACCCTATATAAATCTAACCATTGGATGATGTCCTACTCTCATTATCCTTCTTGGTTTCATAGATCAAGAGAATTCCGATCAAAAGGATTTTGAATAACAGCTTTTATCTTTAGTTGGATATAACAGACGATAGAATCACCATTATTTTCTTTTAATTAGAGCGAACAATATTATATAGTTTAATAAAAATATCTTGCAACTATTCCATGCTATTTTAGGGATTGATCTATGCCGTTCGATCCAAGATTGATGGCTTAGACCAATCCTGTGTGGACCATGAGACTTGCTACTTCAGCACAGAGATGATTAAAATAGGATTTAGGATTTAATTAATTTAGAAAATGAAAAGAAACTTTGAGAATTCATTTTCCCTCAACCATTTATTCAAATTTAATGATTAAGCCCTCTATTGAATCAATGGAATGAGGAGAATCCAATAAGTCCAAAATCAAGACCTAAATCAATATGTTTCAAGAATAATTTGGATTTATATATTTTGACCAAATCGCTTAATTGAGTGGCTTAATCATAACTGCTTGCTCTTCATATGGAGAGTTTTATGTGATGTCTTAGGTCCCTTGAATTTTCTCACAGGGATTTGGGCTATGGCTTTAGTCATAATGAAATTTCTAAGTTAAATACCCTTGAAATAAACCTAAAATTAAAAAAAAAATTTAAATAAACTCTTAAAATTTTGAAACCAAATTTAAATCAATCCTTTGATCTTCTAGATTAGAGGGAAAATTTTTCAAACTAAAAGAAAATCACCTAATATTGTTAATAAACAATTAAAAAATTAACCTAAAACTTACAAAAAGATTCAAAAATTCATTTTAACTCAAAATGACTTCAAACTTCATGGAATTTAACTTGAAAGTGTTAAAATCTCTACTTCCAGTTTTAAGTAAAGTTTTGATTTTTTTTATGATATATTTTCTACAAATATTTTTTTTACAAAATAAATCATAAAAATAAAATCAATTACAAATGATACTTAAGATTTCAAACAAAATAGAAAGCTTTTAAAGACCAAACAAAAAATTTTGTATTTGCTATGAGTATTTACATATACTTCATTGTTGGGTTGCTTGGCTTTATGCTTTAGGTGGCAAAGTTATAAATCCCGATTTCTAAAATAAAAACATCATAGCTTATCATGCATTGCATACAGACTTTGATATCATGTTTTTAAACTGTGTGGGCTTCGAAAATTTCATGATTGCGTGCCCCAGCCTCTCCGCGCCATCGATCTCTTT